TATACACAAAGTACGACAGACATCAGACATCAGCTTAATGATAGCCATCACAAACTTCGCAAATACAACTCCAAACGCCTTCGTCTCAGATGGCAATATTTGAATAATGTTTCCTCTGGAGATTTTAAAACAGAAAAGAAAAAATGGTCTTGAACCTCTAAAGGCAAGATGGTATTATTTCTCTAACCCAAGATAATAATACCGGATACAAACCAAGCTCCTATAATTACACATTACGCTTCCATCGAGAAGGCAAACAGCTCTCCAAGTTTCTGCTCCTGAATATGTGGATCAATTTCTAAAAAAAATAATATCTTCCGCGCCACAATTTCATGTTCGTTATGGAAACCGACACCAAGGGAACATTAATGTGAATTCAGTAATCAATTCTGACGTAACTAAAATTTGAAATTTGTCAAGTTTACCGATGACTCATGCACAAGATGATCTTGCACAGCAAACATCAATACGTCTTGTGTGTTTAGTCACGATCTCGTGGTCACATTGCGTGCTGGTGGATACATCCTTAATGCAGCCTGGATTGTTCTACGTGTCGGTGCAAACAGTTTTTGTGGAAGTCAGGAAGATCGGATATTGAATTCTACCAGTGCCACAAAGAGAAAGACAGTTGTAATGAAGTATATCATTTGTATCTGTATGTAGGTGGATAGATATGATGAACATTGGATATAATGTTCATTCACATCAAATACACTTTGTGAAATGTAATGTAATTGTTTCCTATAGTATTTATTGTACAAATCTGTTTTTGTGCTTTAATTGAATTAAATTATTTGTACACCCACTGCAGGCATACATATGTCTAAGTACCTTATTGCCAGTAAAAATTAAATAAATTAATAAGTTAATAATTCAAAACAAAAAAATCAACGTGGAATGAAATAAGAAAGTCAATATCAGGTGAGTAAGAATTATTATCTGAAGCTGTTTGTACACTTGACCACTTTACCTCTCAAACTGAAAATGAAGATATTTCTGTTTTAAATTCATCTATTATTATTTGTTAACATGTCCTTGACATTTGATAACTGATTAAGAACATTTACATGGAACACAAAAAACCATCTTAATATGTTTGTTTGTTGTTTAACACCGCGCCCTGCAATTTTCTAGCTGTATGGTGGCCGTCTGTAAGTGATCGAGTCTTGATCAGAGATGACATGCATCAACCAAGTCAGTGAGCCTGGCCATACGATCCCGTTAGTTTGCCTCCTATGACATGATTGGGTTGCTGAAGAACAATTCTAACCCTGATCTTTGAAATGTCTTAATAAAATTATTGCAAGACAACGGACAGCCTTTTAAACTGTTTTCCTGGTATAGAAGCCATGTAGTCCTCTATGACACCTAACACATCATACAAAGTTGGGCAATAGTAACGTGGGTGGATAAACTACTGGCTAGTTTGACAGCTGTACCGAGGATGCCAAGAATAATAAGCAAGTGACCTTGTCCAAAGCAACCCTCGTTTACAAACCAATTGGCCATGTTTTGATCTTTCAGTACAAAAGCCTCTTGACAAGAAAGGCTTCAACAGTATTTCAGTTCCTCCAGGGAGCAGAGTATTTAATTTAAATATACATTGACTGAGGTAATAAGCAATGCACTCTGATCTTGCATCTCTATGATTTGGAGTCTGGCTGTACAGATGGGATTATAGACTATGTTACATTGTTGCAATACACAGATAATGTCGATAAAGATGTTAACGTCGTATTGTGTGTGGCAGACATTGAATTCTGCACGTTCCTGTATCCTTGGGCAAGGGTAGGCGTATTAAAGTAAACTGTAACTTTCTAAAATGCAGTAATCAAAGGTTCCACATCAATAGAAAGTCATGTTTGAAATGCCTCCTTTGTGCCTGTGGCTTCTTGTCACAGAGTGTAAGATCTCCCGACCACGACTTGTAAAATCAATCATACTCCCTAGGACGACAAGCTCCACACACGTTGACCTTCACCCTCAGCCCATCAATACAAACCATATCATTTATCTCGATACGTCATGACATGTCGAGGTTAACCTATTTTAAAGCAATGGTGCAAAGGCTTTAGAAACACTGAGTCCCATTGCTCCGAGCTATCCTAAACCTGTCTGTGGTAATGCTGTTTTACAAGATAGGAAATCTATATCGCCTTGTCGGGGCGGTGAGGTAGCCTAGTGGTTAAAGCGTTCGCTCGTCACGCAGAAGACCCGGGTTCGATTCCCCACATGGGTACAATGTGTGAAACCCATTTCTGGTGTCCCCCTACGTGATATTGCTGGAATATTTCTAAAAGCGGCGTAAAACGTAACTCACTCACTTTATAGGGGTAAAAAACCTAGCACATCATGTACACCAATAATGATACACAAATTGACAAACATTTAAACCAGGAAATGCGTGTGCAATGCCATAAACCATTACGAACTCATGTTCAATTGAGACGTATTGAATGAACAAAAGCAGTTTTGCATCTTATAATTTCGTCCACAAATATAAAAGGTACCCTACTAATCTGCGTTCTTTATTTAGATATTTCATTGAAAGATGTGAATCTATTGTTAGAGATCTGAAAATGGAAATTGAACAAAAGAACGGGAACGATGAACGCTTCATGTCCCTGGGTCCAAAGGCTGAATGGAGATGAACCTCCACATCTAACGTTTCTAATTATTAGGCCGGGATTGATCGTGACCCTATTCATGATGGACATTGACCACATGGCAGTTTTGATTAATCGTATTTTCCACCCGTTGGGCCCTATTTCTCGACGCTTCTGCTAATCAAGAACATGACTCGACCCCCCCGGGAATACCAGCCGGAGAAGCTCTGTGACAGATCTTGGTAGTTCCGAAGGCTTCCTGGCAATATGTCTCTCCAACATGCCAACACTGCATTAAGAACAGCTTTTAGTTTCACTCTCCGATCATAATAAGTCACACATGTGGTTGTAGCATGTCTCAATGGAATTGTTGACAGTGACAGTTAACACGTATATGATACACAATATGGCCATTTTGTTCAGAGGATGTATCGCCCAGAGGGTGAAACATGTAACACTATATTTGATTAAACGACTACGACGAGGATAGCACCGGGACGCTGTCTGTATTAGCTTTCATTGCGGAAAGATGAATTGAATTATCTGTACATCAACAGAGAAGACCTTTTCATAAAATGATTTGGGAATTTTGAGATATCTTCAGTTTTAAATTGGATTTCGTTTTATAGATTATTCTGATTGTTTTAGTTTGTTTGCGGTTTAAACTGGCACGCAGCATTATTCCAGTTGGTAACACGATGGCATGTCAAGTCAGCAAAGTCAGACAGAACGGATTCGGATTCTAAGTTAACGATGTTGGAATGGTTGCTAAATCAGTTTGGACTAGATTTGGACTTTGGTTTGATTAGTGTTTTGCTGACCTTCAGACGTTTTAGCATCACTGGGAAATCCCAAAGTTATGTCTTTGTTTAGGTTTACTGCACCAAATCAGAATCAGTGAGTTCAGCCGTTTTCGAAGGAGCCTTCAGAGAAGATTGAATCATCTGGCAGTTCATCCATCCAATAACAACTGGTCATATTCATTTTTAATATTTAGTGCTGTCTTCTTTAACATAATGACATATGGTGAACACGACCACAGATATTTTCAAACGGGTGACATTTCTGCGGAACTGGCCCTCGTGGGGTTGGTCTGTTTAGCTTCCTGTTCTCGGATAAGTGACTGGTTGAGGGAGTCAGGTTGTTGTTTCTATTGTGGCCAGACTATGCATGTATATACATGATGTTGAAGGCTTAGGTGATTATTTTAACAAACAAAACGTTACTATAGAAGCCAATGGGGAAATATTTGTTTTAGTAACCGTTACGTTCACCACACAGAATAGAGAGATCAGCCTAGACAGACAGGGACGCAGCTACGCACGGTAACTTGAGTCGCATCAGACCACAAAGCCAACTCTAAACTCAAAATATCGTAATACCTTATAAAATAACAAATTCTATCATTCATACAAATGTCATAACTGTCAAGAAAGAAAACAAACATTACATGTTTACTACGTCTAAGTTTTCTTTGTTTCTTGGGGGCGGTGGGGTAGCCTAATGGTTAAAGCGTTGGCTCGTCACGCCGAAGGCCCGGGTTCGAATCCCCACATGGGTACAATGTGTGAAGCCCATTTCTGGTGTCCCCCGCCGTGATATTGCTGGAATATTGCTAAAAGCGGCGTAAAACCAAACTCAGTCAGTCACTCTTTGTTTCTTGTGTGCAACGTATTATTTAATGTATAATATCGAAAAGGTACGGTTAAAATTTCCCATTATATCTATTAAGATTGCTATAGCTTTTATAACAACTTGTATTACTGCATACCATTTGATTTTTGAGATATCCTAAATTCATCGTAAATTTACACATTTGTCATAGGTCAAACGCTCTCTACATCCAATGCCGTCACATTACATTACTTGTCAATACCAATGAGAATAGATTTATAGGGGTGGATCCAGGATTTTGGAAGAAGGGGTTGCACATAAATCATGAAGACCAAAGGACCAAACCCCCTCTGGATCCGCCCCTGATATACGTATTACAAGTAAAGCAAGGTTGACAGAAACGAAGAGGAATGTGAAGAACGAAGAGGAATGTGAAGGGTATTATACAATTACATGATAAGTTCCATGGGATCACACGTTGCAGAGCTGTCAAGTGTCATATCATGGACCGCATCTGTAATTGCACTGTTACATGTCAGGACCATTTTTAATAATTCTATTAAAGTTAAAAAGGAACCCCAGAGAGATGGGAGATTCTCAACCTCAGGAATATCTAGACTTGCTTCATACGATTTTTCCATTACAAAACGGATCGGGCTGAAGGAATAAATAAGATGGTTCTGGGACTTTGACACAGACAAACATAATATCAACAACGAAAGTTCACGCGCACCTGAGACACCACAGTTCCAATCGAACTGCGCCCTTCTCCACGCTGCAACCCTTGGAGTTCTAGGCAATTTTATGGAACACTCAATTTATCGACAGTCAGTGGTTGATGTCTGCAAAAACCAAATGCCGAACTGTGTTATCTAATTTACGGACATTTGGGTGGTGATGGCAGATCTATCCAGACCGTATGGGGTCGATCAATTATAGCACGGACTAATGAGTGCCGGCCAAGGAAGCGCGACCATTGCCCGAGTCCAAGGCCTAACCTGGAACTGTGCCTCTTTCGCGCGAGTGCCTCGGCCAGAGATGAAGTGCACGAGCGGTGCTGATGCATGCTGACGTGGAACCAAGGAAGATGCCACGGGCCTGCCTCGCTTTATTAGGCTTTGTATTTGTACAGGTAAGAATTTTTTCCCATATGTGTTCATGCTTATGTTCTAAAGCATTTACCTGTGTTATTGTTCTATAATTCTATGCGTATACAATGACGATAGCCAAATTCCTATACACCAATATAATGCTGTTTTAGTGGATATAATTTTGGTATCTATTTTGAAATATACATTGTTCGCGATAAAAGTTATTTGGAAATAACGTATTTAACGTGAAACTGAAACTAGTACTGTTATTCCTGTACTACGGAACATAAGTCTGTGGACCAAACGTAGACGTATATTGCTGCGGAATTTGATTGCTTAGAATAGTGATACAATATTTACATGTTTGAGATAGTTTGTTAGATCGTCGTCCAAATGTTCCCTCCCCTTTCTATTTTTACAGCATCATTTTCGCACTACACTGTAATATGTTGAATATATCCCCTGGCAATACGTGTGAATATACGTCAACAGCATCTGTATAAAATGTATTCTACCATGACTTCAGTAAACACTGGATTGTGATTGGTTAATTAAAGTCATTCAGAGGTATATAATCACGTTATACAGGTCTCTGTTTTCCGTGCGCAATCATACATGGTTTACGGTAATGCACTATTTTTGTCTGCCCACTAACATGGCGGACACCAAACAACCCACCGATGCATCGATAAATTACGGCGATTTTGCTGTCGGAAATTACACATATGTCTTTAAAGATGGATTTAGCGATGACGGGCTCGACTCACAACTTGCGTAAATCACAGCAATAGGTGTTTATACATACAAAAGTACTTCGAAAGCATGGAAACAAATATTCAGTCGAACAAGATCAAAACATCGTCTGCTTTACGAATAAAAATTCCACAAAAACAAATATGTTTACGTTGATTTTATGTTATGTCAGAATAGATCCAGCAATAGACTGCTACATAATTTCCGTGTTAAATTTATTATCAGCTTTCGTCAACGATATCGCCACTGATCTTGATCCGGTAACGGAGGATGCATTAACATCGAACGCCGAAGAAATTGTAATGCCTTCCGTCCACATAAATAAACAGTTGGGTTATCAATTCAAACAAAATGATATTTTGAAATTTGCACTGTTTCAAATTTAGCGGTAGTAAAACACAATTACAGAATCTGCAAACCGTTCTGTTTAGCCCAACATATTTTTTTTCTAAAAGTATAATATCGTTGAAAAAGTTATTTAGCTTAGTCATGATCCCTCTTATCCATTAAACTGCTTGATCTAAAGTAGTCTATTAAAGTATAATTAATTACCTTACCGTGTTTATGCCAGAGGTACACCCTCGTGTCCTGATCCATCCTTTCGGAAATATCACCACAAATCTGGCTCTTTGTCAACAGACTCCCGAACATGCCAGCGAATCCGATTCAATTTGAATTCACTACACTTTGAAGCCACTAGGTCACAAAACACTTTCCAAAATGTAGAAAATAATATCCGTAGAATCGAATTTGAGCACAAAGTACACACATGAGTGTGTAAGAGTCACCACAGCTGTCGCACGCAGACGTAGAGGTGCGTGAAATCGTCAAGTTGACAGGGCGCAAAATTCAACAGTATCTAAATTCGGTACAACACGGACTTCTCGTTACAGCAAAAGCGCCCCTACTCTTAAATTTTGTACCAGTACCAGTAATTAGATATCAAAGACTATTTCAGTCATACAATCAGGTTAACCTTGCGCAAACTGTCAGAGGCTCTCCTGTCGCATCTTTCCAAATTTGCACGTAAATGTAAACAAGGACTTCCGAGAAAAGGTCAAGGCCATGAGGTTGCTGCCACTATTCTGGTGGGGAAAGGGTCTACGGTGGAATGTTCAAAAGTGAACCAAGCTTTTTAAACTTATTTGATATATGTTTTCCAACTTATCAGTTAATGATTGGTGATTGATGCATTGAAAAAACAAAAACGTGATTTGTTATTACTGAATCTGGAGTTAGTTAGTCATTGACGGTTTGCCACCAAACACCCTGAAATTGTTTCGGGCGATGCCACTTGAGATTGGAATGCGAGGCCGCTTCAACGCATTGACTCGTAACCAAAGAAAGAGCTCCACCTGAAATTGTTCATAAAATTGTCATAGAATGGAGATAAATCCTATTGTGGTCGTAATCAGATCAGATATAACGAATTATAATAGTTTCTAATTGTTCATTTAAAACCCTCACGCTACGCGTTCGGTTTTAAATGAAATTTAGAGCTATTATAATTTCGTTATATACCTCTGATTTTCCCACACAGTAGGTTTATCTCCTAATCTGCGTAAAACTTACTCACTCGCTCACTTTTGTGAAACGAACAAGCATATTTGAACCACACTGACGAAATTGTACAGATAATTTTTACTCCAGGAGATGGCTTCTGTGATCCATTGATCAATGATAAGTTAAAATCCGTACTGACTTCTAGAACTGTAGTTTGAGCTCAGGTCTCAACGTTATATCAGTGGAAACCACCGTGGCCGAGTGGGTTGGATAGCTGACTTTGTGTGCTGGTAATTGCCTTACTCTGAGAGTATGGGTTCGAATCCTGAATGGGACTCAACCCATCTATACTTTGCTGAGAAAGTGCAATCTCACATATAATAGGGATGAGTAAGATTTAACTCCGAAACGTCATGTTTGACAAACTGATCATGACATCCAAAACGTCTTTGACTCACGTTCATCACTTCTAAATGGCTTTCAAGGAAAGAAATGGTAATTTATGTTAATAAATATCATGATCTTTTCTCTCCAAATCAACCCTGGTAATCACCACATACCTTAGTATCAGGTCTAAGGAATGTATACCACATATCGACTAGAGGGAAAACGAGTGGATAAATTGTGACATATACTCTTGCCAATAATGGTTGTCTGGGTCGGGGGTGTGAGTACTTACTTATTGGCATGAGTATATATTGAAGATTTCTAACCATGCCTCGACTGTACTTGTTGACGAACGCTTAATCTCTAAAATATATATATTTGATAAAAACAAATAATTTCCATTTATATTGAAACGAAGCCCCAGTGAGATGGGAGATTCAGAACCTGAGGAAATGTAGACTTGCTTCGTTTATGGCTTTAGAATTGCAGAAAGGGCTGGCCGAAAGGGAAAATAATGTTATTCAGGGACTGTGAGACAGGCTGCTGTACTAGTTGATGCTCACCCGGGGTTGCAGGCGCAGCAATTAGCTGTGCAGAGTTGCTTCCCTTGGGGAAACATGCAATTGGTTGGAGAAGATTATATTTGTAGGTTTGTTGACTCCATAGCCCCGGGTTTCATACAAGAGGTAAAGGTATGAGACCTGGGTCACTTCTTCCCACATGACCCAAACACGCTGTACATAGTAGAACTGGACCATAGTTCAATATGATGTTAAAACCAACTCACTCACTAACAGTCAGACTCGAGTATATACCAGCTGTCTGCGTATAACTGTCATTTAGTGACGAACAGCGTTGTCTGTTTGCAGTCTCCATCCTCAATTATAACTGCAACATTTGTAATCATTGATTCGACTTGTGAAGATCCGGGTTAGAATTGGCCTTCAGTAACCCATGATTGTCGTAAGCGACGAATAACGGGATCGGGTGGTCAGGCTCGCTGTCTTGGTTGACACATACCATCATATCCCAATTGCCAAGATCGATGCTCATGCTATTGATCACTGGATTGTCTGGTCCAGGCTTGATATTATTTACAGACTGTCGAGATATAGCTGGAATATTGCTGAGTGCGGCGTTAAACAACAAACAATCCTTGATTCGTCAACACCACACACATTAGCTTACGTCGATGAGTGAGTGAGTGTGTTTTACGCCGCACTCAGCAATATTCGAGCTATATGGCGGCGGTCTGTAAATAATCGAGTCTGAACCAGACAATCCAGTGATCAACAGGATGAGCATCGATCTGCGCAACTGGGAACCGATGACATGTGTCAACCAAGTCAGCGAGCCTGACCACCCGATCCTGTTAGTCGCCTCTTACGACAAGCATGGGTTACTGAAGATCAATTCTAACCCGGACCTTCACGGGTGTTTACGTCGATGAACTTAGATTGTGTCCCAATTGAAATATACGCGATGTGAAAAAAACTGTAATTACGAATAACAAAGAGTCGTTAGCCGAACTCGCCCACTTAATGTTCAAACTGTTGTGTTTGCAGCGTGTAATGGCTCATCTATTAACAAATGAAGCCAAACCGAACAGCTAATATTTCCACGGTAATACAGCACGGAATACTTCGCGTGTTCCTGGATATTGCCATCAACGTTCCGCTCTCTAAACGATACCATCCATTATGGTTGCCTGTCTGGCTGCATCGTCATCATCAGTGATGCTTCTGTTGTCTAGAAGTTGATGCTGAACGTTCACGTGAAATGGTTATGGTTGTTCCTTTATCTGACTCAGCAGATTAGCGTCCCCCTATTAACGATTTCTTCCACGTGGGTGCATTTGTTTCGCATTAGATCCGAGACTAAACGATGTAAATGAATGTAAATGCAAACATAGGGCACAGATTAACTTTGATCTTTCCATCATTAATGACAGGAAGCCGAAATGTGATATGCTTTCCATTAATAAATGCCATCATTCTGGAATATATGAATAGTCCTGGGGGTAATTGGGCCCATTTATATCCACATCTACGCTATCTACATATCTATAGATAAGCAATGAAAGCGTAGACAGGCAATAGTGACTGTCAATCGCTGTCAGGTTAATGGACGAGACGATGGTATATCTAAATATAGCTTTGCTACAAATGTATATGGGCACATCTGATATATGGAGGACACATATTCAAAGGGCACAATGTTTGGGGTCGTGACGATTCTCACGGGATTTCCTGTCAAGAGTTCTCGTGTTGCAGATTCCAATTCGGGAATATTATAGAACGCCTATAGATACACCCTAATGATGTCTAGCGATTCTATATTTCATGTTATTCAAGTAAAAGGAGTAGAGTTTCACCGGTTGTACGTTTCATGATGACCA